ACATGCCACCATGCCAGCTAATTTTTTCTATATATTTTTAGTTGGGCAATTAATTTATTTCTATTTTTAGTAGAGATGGGGTCTTGCTCTTGCTCAGGCTGGTTTCAAACTCCTGACCTTGAGCTATCCACCCGCCTCTGCCTCCCAGAGTGCTAGGATTATAGGTATGAGCCACCGCACCCGGCCAAAAGTTTAATTTTGATGAAGCACAATTTGTCTATTTTTTTCTTTGGTTGCTTATGCTTTCGGTGTCATATCCAATAAACTATTAACTAATCCAAGGTCATGAAGATTTGCCCTATGTTTTCTTCTAAGAGTTTTATAGTTTTAGCTTTTACATTTAGGTCTTTAATCCATTTTGAGTTAATTTTTGTATGTGGTCTGGGGTAGGGGTCCAACCTTATGCTTTTGTGTGTGAACATCCAGTTGTCCTAACACCATTTGTTGAAAAGACTATTCTTTCCCCATTGAATTGTCTTGATACCCTAGTTGAAAATTAACTGATCATAAATGTGAGAGTTAAGAAGTATAGTTGACCCTTGGAACCATGGGGCACCAAACCCCTGTGCAGTTGAAAAAATTCATTTAGAACTTTTGACTTGCCAAAAACTTAAGTACTAACAGCCTACTGTTGACCGGAAGCTTTACTGACAAAATAAACAGTCAGCACATATTTTGTATGTTATATGTATTATATGCTGCATTCTTACAATAAAGTAAGCTAGACAAAAGAAAATGTTATTAGGAAAATCTTGATCTTATTGAAGAGAAGATATATTTACTATTCATTAAGTGGAATTGGGTCATTATAAAGGTCTTCATCCTTGTCATCTTCACATTGAGTAGGCTGTGAAGGAGAAAGATGAAGAGGGTTAGCCTTGTTGTCTTATGGGTGGCAGAGGCAGTGAAAATCTGCATGTAAGTGGACCTACACAGTTCAAATGCATGTTGTTCAAGGGTCAACTGTATATTTTGAATGAAAATTTGAAAAATGAGAAATTTGGTTGGGAATGGAAGAGTACATAGAGCCATACTGAGACAGAGATGTTTTATTTTATTTTTTGTATGTTATTTTAAATTCCCAAAGTAGGACATTGCCACTGTAAAAAAAAAATCTCAATGCGAGACCGGACATGGTGGTTCTCACCTCCTGTAACCTACGCACTCCCTGGGAGCCGAGGCAGGTGGATCATCAATGTCGATGAGAGTTGAAATGAGCCCTGAGCAAGGAGCGAAAAAAACCCGTTGTCTGCCTACTAAAAAAAAAGAATAGACAATTCAGCTGGAACACATAAGAGTAGATATATAGACAAAAATTAGCCGGCATGGTGTGCATGCTGCGTATCCAGCCCAACGTCAGGAGGCTGGGCAGGAATGGGATTGCTATGAGCAGAGTTTGAAGGTGTGGTCAACTATCAGGCTGATGCACGACCGACACTTAGCTCTTTAATCGGGGACTTATCTGTGTTTTGAGTATGCCTCTGTAGTTGAGATTTATTCCCTCAACAGCAGTGGGAGTCAAAACTCCAAGAAACAGTGCGAACAAGGAAAGCCTCACCAAACCTTAGATCATCTCCAAGTTTTTTCATATGTGCCCTTTTTTCAGTTCAGATTCAAGGAGCATCAGGGTCTCATTGGGAACTTGGAAGTAAAAATCAGGTGGGGAATGGATGTGGGCAGGCAAAGGTGAGGGATTACAACATGAGCATGCTCATAATTTGGAAGTTAGCAAGATATGGCAAGATAACATCCAAGGATATGATTCTATCTACCTCACAGATGTTTATCAGAGATAAGAGGGGCCTTCCTCGGCAGGACGTGGCTCACACCTGTAATCCTAGCACTGCTGAGACGCAAGGCGGGCGGGGGATTGCTGAGGTCAGGAGTTTGAAACCAGCCTGGCAAGAGCGACGACCCCATCTTCTTACTATAAATAGAAAGAAATTCAATGGCCACTAATGTATATACGAAAAAATTAGCGGGCATGGTGCGGTTTTTTGCTGTATCCCAGCTACTCGGGAGGCTGAGCAAGAAGATTTGCTTTGAGCCCAGGAGTTTGGGATGCTGTGAGCTAAGCTGACACCACGTCACTCACTCTAGCCTGGGCAACAAAGCGAGACTCTGTCTCTAAATAAATAGATAGATAGATAGATAGATAGATAGATAGATAGATAGATAGATAGATAGATAGGGCTTCCTGAACCTCCAGGATATTTAGTAATTCTGGCTCTGCTCTATGCTGTCATTCTATGGATTTGAAGTACATATAAACTTTCCCCTTTGAACTGAACTCTTCAGAGAGCGTCTTTTTAACCCTGGTGGCTTGGCAGTTTACTCTCTTTTTTTTGTTTTGTCTTTTGAGACAGGGTCTCCCTCTGTCACCTAGGCTAGAGTGCAGTGGCCTCATCACAGTGCACTGCAACCTCGAACTCCTGGGCTCAAGCAATCCTCCTGCCTCAGCCTCCCAAATAGCTGGGACTACAAGGCACACACCATCATGCCTAGCTAATTTTTCTATTTTTTTGTAGAGATAAAGTCTCGCTATGTTGCTCAGGCTGGTCTCCAACTTCGGGCCTCAAGTGATACTCCTGCCTTGGCCTCCCAGAGTGCTAGGATTACAGGTGTGAGCAACCACACCTAGCCAAATTTACTCTTAATGTCATTTTTCCATGGGGGACATGGGCTTTGATGACATTTTTTAAAAATGTGGATAATAAGAGAAATCCTAAAAAACTTTTAGAGATAAAATGTATATAGAAAGGTACATGAAGTACATGAATCTTAAATTTACAACTTTTTCCTATCTTCTTATCAAAATCAGGGGACCAGCAACTGTCCAGAAATCCTGAAGAGAACAGAGGTGAGAAATCAAAAAGTTCAAGTAATCCTTATTGCATATACAAAATTTCAAATTCACAGCATGAATAAAGTAGGATGCTAGTTCATTTTACATAGCCAAACCCTAACATGTAAGAAATTTTCAAGCAGGTGTATAACATGAATAACAACTATAGCCATAGCTACCATTTCTCATACAAACTAATTGTTCCACGCACTAAGCTAAGTGCTTTGTACACATTATCTCATTTAATCGCCTACTTCCCACTGTCAAATCTATACATTTGTTCTCATTAGAACAAATCCTCTCCCTACATCCTTTTACACTTCTCATTTCTTCTCACTGTGTGTTGGATCCTATTTCCTCACACCTTCTGAGAAACTTTACAATATTAATTATCCTTTCTCTCTCTTGTTTAGTCAACCTTTCCCTTATTGGGATATTTTTATTGACATTTAAACTGCTCAAGTCTCTCCAATCTTATAAAAACAATTTCCCTTGAGTTCACATACTTCTCCAGGTACTACTTAACTCCTTTCTCTCCTTTAGAGCCAAACTTCTTAAAATAACTGTATTCTTGTTCCTTTTCCTTCTTCCTACTCTTTTTGTAACACACTTTAATCTGACTTCCAACCCCCTTAATCTGTGGTGATATGGTCACCATTGACTACCAAATCACTAAATGTAGTAGATACTTTTAGTCTTGATCTTGACCTCTCCAGCAGAATTTGACACTCATGGCTGGGTGTGGTGGCTCACACCTCTAATCCCAGCACTTTTGGAGGCTGAGGCAGGAGTGTCAGTTGAGGCCAGGAGTTCGAGAACAGCCTGGGCAACATAGTGAGACCCTTTCTTTACAAAACATACAAAAATTAGTTGGGTATGGTGGTACACGCCTGTATTCCCAGCTACTTGGGAGGCTGAGGCAGGAGGATTGCTTGAGTCAAAGCATTTGAGGTTGAAGTTTGAGGTATGATGATGCTACTGTATTCTACCCTGGGCAATAGAGTGAGACCCTGTCTCAAAAAAATATTTTTTTTGACACTCATGATCGTTTCCTCTTTGAAATATTAATACATGCATTGGCTTTTGTGACCCTCATTCCTCTTCATTGTCCTACTTCTCTGGCTATTCCTTTTGGTCTCCTTTGTAGGCTTCTCCTTTTCTACCTGGCCAGTCAGTGATGAAGTTCCTTAGGATTCAGTCCTAGGCTTGCTCTCTTCTCATATAACTCTCTTCTAGACACTCTGAATTACGAGTCACTCCCATGATTTCAAATATCACCCACATGCAGATGACTCACACATTTTAATCTCTAGGCTATATCTTTCCTCTGAGTCCTAGATCTAGTAAGTACCATTTAAGTGTTTGCTATTATTACTGTTGCTACTATTCTTTCTCTTCACCAAAAGGTTTTACCTCAGCCTGTTAGGAAAGTTGGGGTGCCTTTTCTCTCTCTTTTTTTTTTTTTTTTGAGACAGTCTCACTCTGTTGCCCCGGCTAGAGTGAGTGCTGTGGCGTCAGCCTAGCTCACAGCAACCTCAAACTCCTGGGCTCAAGCAATCCTCCTGCCTCAGCCTCCCGAGTAGCTGGGACTATAGGCATGCGCCACCATGCCCGGCTCATATTTTCTATATATTTTTTTAGTTGGTCAATTAATTTCTTTCTATTTTTAGTAGAGACGGGGGTCTCTCTCTTGCTCAGGCTGGTTTCAAACTCCTGACCTTGAGCGATCCTCCTGCCTCTGCCTCCCCGAGTGCTAGGATTACAGACAGGCGTGAGCCACCGCACCCAGCCTCTTTTTATTTTTTTAAGAGAGGGAGGACATATCACCAATATCCAATTTTACAGTGTTTCAATGAGAAAATAGAATTTTCTTGACACTCAGGTCTTGGTACTCTCTAAAATAGTAACGTATTTAACATACAATTGCATCAGCCTCAGAATTTAAGGAAACTATATTCACCTGTTGAGGGAGTATGGGTATCCTGTGAAGAAGGCCACTGTGCTAGGCACTTCTACCCACGCTATTTACTTAATTCTTGTACCTGCTCTGTGCAATAGGTATTATTAAGCCAATTTCTTATACATGAGGAAACCAAGGCTCAAAGAAGAAAATAGCTCAATTGAGGTCACACAGCTACTGATTAAAACCTCAGTCATTGCTAAGAGCTGTCCTAGAACCATTTGAAAATATCGAAAACCTCAGGACGCAACAGAGATCTAAGAAGAGGAGCTTGACATCCTGCCCTTCTAGCCTGTCAGAGTCCCTTTGACAAGCCTAACTGGGGACAGGGGAGGCTCCTGGTTGATCAGTGATATCCTACATCGCTAGAAGGCTTTTCCAAACCACTTTTACATCTCTGATCACCTGATCTCTAACCTCTCAGTCTCAGTAAGACCCCCTAGGTACTCTACCTCTCATTTCATCCAGATGAAGTAATTATCTTCCAGTTACACTAGGTTCTCCCCCACCCCACGCTCCATGGGCAGCCGCTTCGGCATCACTGTCTCTGGGACCCCGCCTCCACCATCTTCTTCCTTTCTGTTCCCAACGTCCCAGAACATTGCTCGAGGGAGAACCAAGTAGACAAATATAAATGCGTGCTGTCCAGTTGCAACTTGGTCCTTGCAGCTGCTCAGCAACCCTTTTGTCTCGTACATTCCCTGGCACTCTCCCACAGAGGCTGTCGCAGACCTTCTTTTTCTTCAAACTACAAATTCCAGTCTCCTTCCTTCCACTTCCAAAGACTTCCTATTCGATACTTTTATTACATTAATTGTCCCTCCTTCAACAAATCAATAATATCCTTTTTCCCTTCCAGCCATGTCCTCTAGCCATCCACTTCCCTTCCTGAGGAAGCAATAAATGTTATTTATCTTTCCAGAAATATTTTCTGAGTCTATAAGCAAAAATATGGAAAAGAAGTAACTTTTACTGGTTGTTAAAGAGGAATAGGACTTGGATAGGTGGAAAGGAGATGACATTCCAACCAGAGGAAACATCCTAAGCAAAGGCACAGAAGTGGACGTGAATAAGATATATTTAGAAAACAGGGTATAGCAAGTAATCCCTTGAGAAATAATCCCAGCTGCTGCCTCAACTGCTACTTCTCCTTTTCCAGTTGACTTCAGCCCAATTACTTCTCTGCCTGTCCTGTTCTACATACCAGCTTAGTGGAAATCTGAAACTACATGGCCCCTCACCCATCCTATCTTGCCAGGACCTCAGTTACTATTTATTGAGCTTTGACCCCAACCATCTGTTTGAGTCACGTTAAAGAAGTCCCAGATTCTTCCTGGTACACTCTCTAACGCAGACACCTTCCATTTCCATTTCCTTAGTCACATGGATAATTTCCTAACATCACTAAAAACAGGACAATGAGTATAAAAGATGCAATATAAAGATGTTATTCATTTTATTAATATATACACAACATATAGAGGTCAAAGGAACATGTTAAACTAAGCAACAGACATACCATCAACAAAACCCAGACTGTGTGCAACTCTACTGAAAAACACTGCCATTTCTTCAATAAAAAAAATACAAAGGGCCAGGCATGCTGGCTCACACCTGTAATCCTAGCACTTTGGGAGGCCGAGGCAAGAGGATCACTTGAGGTCAAGAGTTCAAGACTAGCCTGAGCAACATAGTGAGACCCCATCTCTACAAAAAATAGAAAAATTAGCTGGTTGTATTAGCTGGTACACGCCTATAGTCTCAGCTACTCTGGAGGCTGAGGCAGAAGGATCACTTTAGCCCAGGAGTTTACAAAGCAAGACCATCTCAAAAAAAAAAAAAAAAAATCAGATCCCCCCAAATGAACTCTAAGATCAAATTCTGATATCTTGATAAAATGATACCTTGTTAAAAAAAAAAAAAGAAAAGAAAAGAAAAAGAAATTGTAAGGGGCCAGGCGTAGTGGTTCACACCTATAATCCCAGCATTTTGGGAGGCAGAGCCCAGGAGTTTGAGACTAGCCTGGGCAACAGAGTGAGACCCTATCTCTACAAAAAAGATTTTAAAAATTAGCCAGGTGTGGTGGTACATGCCTACAGTCCCAGCTACTTTGGAGGCTGAGGTGGTAGGCTTGCTTGAACCTGGGAGTTTAAGGCTGCAATGAGCTATGATCATGCTACTAAACTCCAGCCTGGGCAACAGAGCAAGACCCTATCTCTTAAAAAAATTTTTTTCGGCGCGCGGCGGTGGCTCACCGCCTGTCATCCTACGCACTCGTGGGAGGCGAGCGCGGGCATTGCTCAAGGTCTCGAGTTCAAACCAGCCTGAGCGGAGACCCCCGTCTTCACCATCAAAATAGAAAGAATTATTGGCAACTAATCTATATACCTAAAAAAATCAGCCGGCAGGTGGCTTGTGCCTGTAGTCCAGCTACTCGGGAGCTGAGGCACAGGATCACTTGAGCCAGATTTGAGGTGCTGTGAGCTAGGCTGATGCACGGCACTCACTCTAGCCTAGGCAAGAAAGCGAGACTCTGTCTCAAAAAAAAAAAAAAAAAAAAATTTTTTTCAATAGAAAGATAAGGGAACCTTTAGACCAGGCATGGTGGCTCACGCCTGTAATTCTAGAACTCTGGGAGGCCTGAGGCAGGAGGATCGCTCACGGTCAGGAGTTCGAGACAGCCTCAGCAAGGAGCAGACCGCATCTCTACTACAAATAGAGAAAGAAATTTTCTGGACAACTAAAATATATGTACAACTAAATTAGCTGGCATGGGGGCGCATGCCTGTAGTCCCAGCTACCCAGGAGGCGGAGGCAGAAGGATTGCTTGAGCCCAGGACTTTGAGATTGCTGTGAGCAAGGCTGACGCCACGGCACTCTAGCCTGGGCAACAAAGCCAGACTCTGTCTCAAAAAAAAAAAAAGGGATCTTTAGTTTACAAGTGACATATAATACATACCCACAATCACAATTTGTAGACTTTATTTGGCTACCGATTCAAACAAAAAAGTTGTAAAAAAATTTTTGACACTTATGAAACTATTAGAAATTTAAA